TTGCCACCTCAATACCATTACAAAAATAGCTGCCTTCTCTGACACTTTTCTCTCCAACCATCCTCACTTTCTTGCTCTTTCTACCAAGCCATCAAAAGACTTCAGCTTTTATTGCTAACTTTAAGATCTGAAATATGCCTGCTTCCTGATCAGCTTTCAGCTTTCTTCTGTCTGATGCCTGTAATCACCTGTTACACTTTACTCACTTTGCAAAATCGGGGGTTGGATAAGGGGAGTAATCGAAAAAAAAAGAAAAGGGTTTACTTGATAGGTGGACATATTTCTTCTTGTTGCTGGTCTCTTCCAGAGTGCCTGCCTATTTCTTTTTTACACTATTAGAAGAGTTTCTCAGATCTTACACAGGAGAGAGAAATAAATTAATTCTTCTTAATTATAAGGACTAGTTAGCTGCCTAATCCAAATTCTACATGAAAACCCTGACGCCATTTACCTTGACTAACTCCTTTTTCTTACTAGTCTGCCCAGCCTACCATTAGAAATTACTGGCCTGGCAACTCCTTGCAGTAAATCATCCAGCAAAAGTCAGTCAGCCAATGCTGTCAGCTAGCACAGCGCTTGAGGGGTAAAATTCCCCTGCAAAGGTAAGGATACTTTTTAAGCAGTGGTTTAAAAGGCTTGACATGTAGAAGTAAGTATATAGGGATTTCTATTAGGTAAAAAGGAAAAGAGATTTGTGTGACTGAAAGACAAATTAATTTATATGAAACAGGCAAAGAGCTTTTTTGTTTTTTTCCTTGAAAAAGATCTGAGAAGTCATTGATTTAACATGTAAATACTGCATAAGTAATGAAGCATTTCAGTATAATAAAATCCCAATGCTATATTGTTGAGCACTAAGTATTCAGTCATGCAGACATACTGAACTATTAAGCAGCACAGTACTTACAAAATATTTGCCTTGACTCTTTCAGAGAAAATATTGTATGCTCTCCCAACCTTACTCCCTAGATTCATGAAGATTTATAATCCCAGCTACAGTTTTTATCTGTATTTCCTTTCACTCCGAAAACTCCTCACCTCCTCAGGTGTTTCAAGCCATCAATCTTCATTAAGTCCCACTCAGCACATGCTTCTTTAATTAGCTTTGTCAATATTAATCCAGAAAGAGATGATTACAAAGGCAGAAAGACATCTGCACTGCTGGGAAACATACCCATCATCTGGTTGTCAAATGTATTGTGCATCTGAAGTGTATTATTTCTCTAATTCAGAATACAAATGCTTTGGGGCAAGGATCACCTATCCTACTAATTTTTTACACATCGTGCATTCTGACTGCACTCAGTAAATAGCAAAACAAAAAGTCCTTACAGCAAACATTCTCTCAGAAATCCACTGGTCAAAGACATTCCTACTTTTACATGAAATATAGACTGGTTTTGCCCATTGGCTCCTCAGACATTATTCTGGAGCTGAGAAAACCAAAGACCACTTGGCAACACCACCTTCACAGCCAAACTTTCATCTCCAGGATGCATCTTTCATTCTGAGCTGCAAAGCTTATCATCAAGGACTGATGAGAACACAAAAGCTTGTCCCAAAGCTTCATCATAATCTTAAATTTGCTTACATAAATAACCTCCTGTAATATTGCAGGTGCAATAATTTCAGGTGGCAGATGAACTTTGATACAGACTGAGTGAAAGATCTGGATGGGAGCAAGTGGTGTCCACCAATCTAAGCAGGAGAATATCTGATAATACAAATAGTTGAATCTTAATTCCCTCAGCAGGTGATCTTTGTCAGATTGCTTTCAAAACAATTTTTCAGAGTCCTTTGAAGATCTGTTTGTGCAAGTTTGCCTCTTTGCAAGTTTCTGTATTTGATAGCTTTTAAATTTCTCTTGCTTAAATGATACAGCTTGGAAGCTCTATTGTCATAGAGCAGAAATTTTAACATACCTGGTTGAAGTCCTCCCTAGATAAAATGTGTGACCTAACCTGTTTAATTACCTGGCATCCACCTGCCAATGAAAGCAACTTATGGTACAATCTGCAGTCTGCTCCAGGCACAAAAGCTAGATCCTAAAAGCTACTTGTTGTTTTGTTTTAAAACAGGATAATTCCATGTTGAAATCCCTAATACTTTCCTACAGCAGATGCCTTACAAAGTTTGGAATTTTGTGAAGTCATAATTAAAAGCCATTCACTCTATTTTTGGTTAGAATTTTTCACCTTTATTCATTTGCTTGTGTTTTGGGTTTGTTTTTGGGTTTTTTTGTGAAGCAATAAATATTCATTGTTAATACTTCTCATTACTTCTATTTTACGATTATTTTCTTTTGAGGTGTTGCATTTGTACTCGGTAATGAGCCTCCATTTATGATTACACCCTGTCATCATTAATAAGATTTCTATTTCTTAAAGATTACCTAGCTTGATTTCCCTTACTGCTCATATAAAAAACCCCAAAAAACAAAACACACAAAAACCTACTTACTGAGCCATTGCTTAATAGAAATAAATTTATGGTATAGTAGCAGAATTTGCTTTTGAACTAAATGTTTGTCTTATAAAAATATATACACATAAACTACTTTCTATAAAATTTATAGCATTCTTTTTATTTTCATTTTCTGGAGGGGATTTTTTTTAGTTCTCAATTTTTACTATTAGCTTTTTCATAATTTTGCTAATACCAATTTTGCTAATACAGACTAATGCAACTTTGGTCATATTGTTTTAATTATTGGCATGACATTGACTTCTTTGTTCTCTGGTAATGTCTCATTTTTCTAAGATTTTTTGAAAAAGAAAATGAATGCCCCAGAAAAGTTCTTGTACTGTTCTTTCTATCCTCTTGAGAGGAAGTAGCTTAAAACCATATAATAGCTTTTTTTAGCACCTTTTCTAAGCACTGAAGTAATACAAAATATTTTGTGTTGCTGTGAAATGCAGTCACATGATCTTTTTTTTCCCACAAGAGTATAGTAATCATCCAGTACTAATGCTATAAATGAACTGAAATCCATGTTGACATCTTTTTCCTAAATACACAAAAAGTTATTCCAGCTTCAAAGCAGATGTTAAACTTTGACACACCTAAAACTCAGAAAACAGTCCAGTCTTCACGTCTTCCATGTTACCCATACTGGCTAACTCTTTCTGCAGGTTAGTTTAAGATGAGGAATCCTCTAATTGCCTATACCAGTTTGAGACTATCTGTTCTGGGGACCTAGGCAAATTCTACTTCGATGTCTGTGTAGACTTAACCATGTCTGTATCTCCTGAGAAGTCCAGGAAGATAGGCATAATTAATATGGTGACTTCCTAAAGGTACTGCTTAAGTTTAACCTATATAATTGTGACTAACAGACACAAAGTTGAAACCTAAACCGTTGGATCTGCTCAAATTGGCTGAAACTGAGCCTTGATACCCTGTGTTATAAAAGGCTGCAAACCATTACCTCAGAGCTCCATCTCTACTGCTGAAGTTGAAAGAATATTTTCTAAATGGATGCTTAGAGTATGGGCTTAAAATGAAGTATCTTACAAAGTGAGGACTTTGATGGCATTATGCACTAAGGTAATTGTAGAAATGGAGAGAGCAGCTACTGCGGAGGATTTATATTAGAGTGCACTGGGTAACCTGGTGTCGATATACAGTCTCCTGTTAACTCCCTATCTAGTATGCAAAAACTAGCCAGCACAAGCCTTTAATTCTGCTTAACAAGACCAACTTAAATTGTTTTGATTAGGAAGCACAGAAGTTTTCTGGACCTAATGGTCTACAAACATTTCATATAAAATTACAATGATGTATTACTTTGCTTTCATTCTTCTACCATTAATATTTAAAAATGCAGATTTCTTAAAGGACAGATATTTCCATTTAGTTCTGCTTATAAATAAGGAGTGCAATGATTCAAATCAGGAGATGTAGCTTGCAAAGAAATGGTAAAATTAGAGATTTTCGGCTAAGCAGTGTGGTGGTATTTAAAAGCACAAGTGAGTGGGATGTTCGCTGTTTTAACAAAATTTCACAAAGGTGTCAAAGAGTAAGATTTTGCAAGGAATAGGAAAGTAGCTGAACAGTATTTGTTTACTGTATGGCTTTCAATCACATAGATTACTCAAAGAAAAATGCAGACATAAAATAAACCGCAAAGCATGTAAAATTAATGCTTGCTGTGCAAATGCACCCCTGTAAATTAGATTGCCTATAAAATAAATAAGTAATGATGAGTGTTATTTTTTGTAAGTATGATTTATGCCACTGTTCATCACAGGCCATTAGACAAAAATGCACAATTAGAGATCCAAGCAGCAGCTCTACTCATTTCAGCTGTCTGCCAAATGTTATGTTATGCTTCTATTTTAATTTAATAACTGTGAAGCAGGAAAAGAAGATACGCAACTTGGTTTTTTATCAATCTGGAAAACTGAGGCTTAGAAGAAAATGTTGTTTCTAAGTCAGATATTCTCTACCTTTTTTTCTTTTTCAGCCTTAAGCAGCAAATACTTACCCTAAATGTTCTATCACTATTTCTTATTGAAAGAGCGCTAAGTAAACTGCTCTTCACTTCTGTGAACATGGACATGAATTTGGAGAGTATCTATACTTACCATGGAGGAAAATTACTTTTTCTAATTTTTAGTTCTCTGTTATCCTGTTACGGACTATTTTGGCAGAAGTTTTTGTATGCATATGCTTTCACATATTCATGCCACTACACCTTGCCCTTCCGTATGTGATGTGCAGAAGATCACTGAGCAGATTATAGTATTGTTAATTGTAGCACTACGCAAAATATGCCAAGAAAAGTTTGTTATAAACCGTGGGTCTAACTCAATACCCTATCGAAAAGCAAGGACATGGCCATTTACATTTCCTTTCCATTTAAACAATCTCAATTTTGATACCAGTTTAATTAGGCAGACAATATTCTAAAGGGATGTGCCACAAAATATTTACATTACAAAAATCTAACACCTGCTTATTTCTCATATTGATGGTGTATTCCAACGAAAACTAACATTTTATACCTTTTCATGAACCTTTTGCCCTGGCTCCATTCCTTCAATATGCTCTGATTCAGCAGACCCTTCACCAGCTGCCATTTTCCTTTGAATATGTGCATTTTGTTCACGCAAAGCTACAATCTGCAAAAGAAAGAAAATATGTGATCAACATACATAATAAATCTTAAAATAACTGAACAGACAATTTGTTAAATCTATTACTATTTTGATCCTATATTGGCCATTTGTAGCATTTGCAAAATTATCTGTACATGCTGAGAGGTTTAAAAACCAAACATACTAACAGCTGTTAGGCATTGATTTTGTTAACATTGCAAGCACGACTCATTCTTCCATACAGAACACAATGGACACCAAACTGGCATTATATAAAAACAGTGCTGAAAGGCTATGAATAAAAACCAGGTGATGTAAAATGAAGTGCTAACTTTCTGTTGACTTCCTGTCTGTTAGTAAGTGCAACATACATTTTGACTCGTTTGTGTTAAGAAAAACATGTACGCAAAAGCCCTTGTCTGTGTTATTCATTGATTGATTGTTTTAGTGCATATACAAGTAGGTTTTATTGTATTGAAAGTATTGTTTTACTTATTGGTAGTGCTATTAAAAATCCCATGCAACTACTGGAAAATATGTTGCTTTCTCTCTGACTTTGCAGCCTATTCTCAGACAATACGCAGGATGAAAAGATTTAGGTCCTAAAAAAAGGTTTACATGGTATACTATGGTAAATTGGAAAATCTGGCTAATACGAAACTTACTCATTTTGATAAATTGCACAGTTAAATCTCTCTATACAGTTCTGCTTTCATGAGCATGTATAATTAATTTACTGGATGGATAACATTGTGTATTAAACAGTACATGCTGTTTTTGGAGAGCTAGTGTAAATGTAAAGGTTTCTGTCACTGTATTGTGTCTGCACAAATCCTGAGTCAGAAACACCCTAAAACACTGTCCTGGCCTAGAATACAAAAACATGGGGTGGGAGGGAAGATTTAAGGCAGTACTACCTTCTAAGTGTTTACAGCAGCCAAGATTTTGTGTGACAATGAATTTGACTTAATTTAATTTTAATTTACATTAAAATATATTTACTTTGATCTGAATAATTTAAGTTTAAAAAAAAAAAAAGTGGTTTTCAAATGTGTTTGTTAACATGTTTAAGTTCTGATTGTAAAGACTACTTGAATCGGCTCTGACCAGCATTTTAAATCTCATGGATGCATCTCTTTAAGGAACTCTTCCTTAAAATAGATGTTGAAAACTGTTGTGATTTGAGACAGGCTGATTCACTGCCTGCTAAATTCCAAATTACAGCCTTTACAGAACTCATGTGACTCCCACTGATTTCAGTGCTAAGACGGAGACCTGAGGGCAACATTTCACCCAAAGCAATTACAGTAAAATATAAAAGAATGGGAATTAAAGCTGTCCGACACAATCTGTGTCTTTTGGGACTGTACAATGAGCTTTAAAATGTTTTGCTTAAGTAAGAGAATTAGGTCTGCCTTAAATAACAGAAAAAGATCTTTATAATCTCATTAGCATAGACTCCCTTTGTACACAGTAGTTGGTAATTTAATAACTTTTTTTTCTGAATAGCTTCACCTATTTCTTTTTCTTTACAGTTTAAATGGTTCTCAAGTGTAAACTACAGAAATTATGGTTCCCACCAAGCAGAATTAGCCATCAATTACTGCTAAGTGACTTTAAGGTAGGTTAAAGGAGATACTTCAAGGTATATATAATAAAATTCTTATAGAAAGCTACTATACATCAAATGAAACAAACATAAAATCATAGGATATGTTAACTGGCAGCCAACAATAGATCTGGATTTTCACATGATAATCTTTCATTGATCCATTAAAATGCAGACTTCACTATGCCTTCATTTTGAATTACCACCTGCATCTAATACAAACCCTCTAGCTCAGTAAGAATATTGTATAAACACTGCTGCAAAAATTTATTATTTCATTACATATTCGACAATAGTTTATTTATTTTCTTAGCCTCTGATGGTCTTTAGCTACTTTAGGATTACCACTTTCTAAGTATGTAAGTAAGTAAATAAAAACAAATTCAATTGTCCTTTCAAAGTGAAAGGCAAGTAAAAGAGTACAATATTGTATATCATTATTTTGGGAGATTCACTTTATTTTTGAATGAGAACAATTTATTTGTCAAAACCCCATCATTGTTAAAGCTTTTTTTTTCCAATGGCTTTGTCACTGTAACGAATGCAGAGTAATTATAAACAGGAATAACATGGAGTTTGAAGTCTGTCACATCCTAACAGTCAAATATAGGGTGGTCATCAGATAACAGATGTAAGCTGTGAAGATCCACACAGCTAACTTGCTTTCATATTTTTTCTTTCTTCTTGATTTAAAGACTAAATTATGACAGAATTAATGCTCCTAAGGAAGCTTGGAAACTCTCCTGTGTCTTACAAATAAACAGAAATTTTTACTTATCAGTTTGTTGAAGCAAAAAGATTTTACCTGCTATAACACTCTTGTTTATTACTTAGTTAACTCTTATTTAATTTGAACTTTCAATAATGTGCAAATAATTTCAAAATACGCTGATTTAATCACTGAAGAATTTGTGTAACTTTCTACACAGGAGGCCAAAACACAGCTGAATGGATGATGATGATGAAATAGGTGAAGGTGAAGACACAGAGGAGTCTAAATTATTTCCTAGGTAGCCACTGAATCTTAAATTCTAATCATCATTGCAACAGCAGACAGTGATAATACCACAGATCTAGGTAAGAAAATAATTGTGCAACATAAATAAAACTCAGTAATACTACTTTTGAGAAATTCCTATTCCTTATATTGATGCTTTTATGCTTATGATATCTACCTTAAAGTATCCACTATAAAACATGATTGCAGACAGCTTTCCAAGTACCTACATACTATTTAACCCTCTAAAGTTAAATTCTTAATGGTTTTCATGCTAAATTCTCTTTTGAAAAAGTAAAAGCTAATTTTCTTGAGGATGGAGTCAGATCTGCTAAAACCAAATCAAAACAAACCAGATTAAAAAAAATTAAGAACCCAACTGATAGAAAATAAGTGGAGATAAATATCACTGTTGTATTTACTACTGTTGTATCCAAAACCAGACAACCAACCTAAACATTCAAGTCCAAGTAATACGTGCTAAAATACGACCAAACACATATTTTTTCCTTAGCAACTTCTGACTGTGGGTCTCATGATTAGATTTCTTTTCTAAATTGCTATCACAGACATTATTTTCATATTGAGCACACCTGTCAAGATTTGACCTGGACCACAGCAAGACATTTCAACTGGACTCTAATCTAAAGTGAATGTAAAATTGCAGAGATGCTAGTCTTTCTATAGTTAACTCTAAAGATAGCTTCCTGTTGCAGGCCTAAATTTGGCTCCCTGCTAACTTTGCCAAACTCAGTCAGATGAACTGAAAAGTTGTTTCTTGATTGAGAAAATCAAAACAATGGTTGTGAGCTTAAAAAGACTGAAATGTAGAATATTAATTTTCTAGTTGGACCTTCCTAAATGTTGTTACTTAAGCCCATGAGAATATCCTGTAGCCTAAAGAAACATTCCTTTAGCTTGTTCTCACAGGTATGTTGATCTTCAACATACTTCACATCTTTGTAATCAGTTTTTATGACTTACAAGGGACAATATCATAATATTGAAATTTTAAAGAACTTCCACAGATTTAGGTTCTGTCTTCTGGATTTCAAAGGTACATAGAAACAAATGGCACGATTTCTAAAGCCCCACTGTGTCATAATCATTCTGAATATATCATTACACAACTTCTACCTTTTTGTCTCAAATCTAAAATATTTTCAACCTTCTTAAAGCCTAGCTTTTTTAATTACAATTTTGGTAAAGATCCCTACTGTATTACCCATATAAATTCACTCCAAAATCTTAGCAGAATTTGTGTCCATGATCTATAGACATCACTGAATCATATGTTTTTTATGAAATTAGTATTCAGTGATTTAGTTTCAAAATTACAACTGGTCCACATTACCATAAATGACCAAATCTACATGCTATGCCTGTACACTTGAAAATACTAATTTGAATTCAGATGTTAAGGGAATATTAATTTCAAATATTAAAATACACCATAGAACAGAATACCAATACATAAGCCAGAACTGATCTGAAGAAGTATGTGATGTTACAGAACCATACCCATCTGTCAAGCTGGTGAAAAGGGCAATGTAATAAGACAACCATTTCATCATGAATAATTATACAAGGCTATAAATCAGTAAAGAATAGGATAAATTATATCTGTTTAGCAAGGAAAACAGTCTGATTACTATCTGTAATAGGACATTAAGACATATATATGAAAGAAATAAAAGATTCACATTGTGGCTGCAAAAACTACCAAATTGTGAAGGGTGACCAAAATGAAAAGGAAAAGCGGCACACAAAAAAATGGCAACATTTGAACTATGTTTGCTAGACATCAAAAACCCAAACTGGAACATACAAATTATGCATGAGAATGTAACAGATTTATTCTCGGTGCAAAGTCTCCCACAAGACAAATGAAGCAGGAAAAGTGTTTCCTCTACATGTTTACTTTGTGTATTTTACAGAATAACTAATCTGAAATTATTTGAGAACAAAACGCTAAGATATGCAGATATGGTTTAGATGTAAGATTTACATATGTAAGAAAAATTTCACCGTTCAAATAGCAAGTTGAAATCCCTCCAGGTTGGTGGGAAGGAACTAAATGCATTCCTTTTTGTTATGAATCATGGTGATATTTGGTCCATAAGTAGTGTTGACAACTCCAGAAAGGAAGAACAATAACTTTAGAGAAGAAGAATGATTTTGTAGTTGAAAGCTGAGGGGATATCGGGATCTGTAAGTCTGAGATGATCGTTGGTGGTATTACATTATGATCGTTGGTGGATAAGATTTGGAGTGAATCAGAGAGTACCGACCAGCTAAGGACCAGATGAAATAACACTCTCACCACTAGGGTTTTCCTGAAAGTGTTCTGACGTCCCCAGCGAGGACCTGTTGTTATCATCAATGTATATCATATACTGTAAATTACAAGGATGATAT